TTAGAGTGGAACATGAGAACAGGACATTGCACATATCCTAAATACACAGCTTACTGACATTGTAGAGACTGATATCCTTTCGTGGCCACCACTCAGATCAGATATCCACATCCTTTGGCAGGGGACCTCTACATTGTATCAGGTGGATGTCTGGTCCACAGATATGGCAGAAGCAATGGTATACGACTTCCAAAGAGAACTCATAAATATGTGATGCCTTGCTCTTTCTAGGATCACACACTCTGGGAGAAACTCCTTGCCATATCATGAAGACACTAAAGTAGTTCTACTGGGCGAGGAGCTAAGGACTGCTGCTAAGAACCATGTGAGCGTGTCATCTCTGAAGCAGATCCTCCAGGCCAGCCCAGCCATCCAATGAGCAGAGCCTGGTCAATATCTTGACCACAACTTTGTGAAAGAGACATCTTAGGCCACAACCACCCAGATAAGCCACTCAGATTTGTGACTCTCAGGAAGTGTGAGATAATTAATGTTGTTTACTGCCACTGGGTTTTGGAGGAATGTGAAATGCCGCGATAGATATCAAATCTAGTTGGACCACACTTGTCTAGGGCCAATGTCTGCGGCCAATTCAGTCGTTATTCATTCACTCAATCACTCATTCGCTCTTGAAGTAAGCATTTATCATAAGCCGACCATTTGTCCCATACTGCAGTTGGCCACCGGGTCATTCGGTGATGAAAAACAGACCCAGATTGCTGCTATGATATGAGCTCTATCCTAGTAGGGAGATGCATAGAAACCACCAAAAGAAACACACTAACAAGGTTTGGTGAACTACGGAGGAAACAAATGGAGGTTGGTGATTGAGACAACAGGGTGACCCCTAGGAAGGGTGATGAGGGATGACTTTCTGAGGGAGTGGCATCCAAGGTGAACTCTAAAGAGTAAGAAGGAATAAGCAGTGAGAAGAGGTGGACAAAGGATCCAAGGGGAGGGACAAGCGGCTTATGATGAATGTTTACTTCAAGAGCGAATGAGTGATTGAGTGAATGAATAAACTCTGAATTGGCTGCAGACATTGGCCCTGGGGAAGGATGGGCACTGTGGCTGGAGCATGGGGCACGTTGAGGTGGGGGAGCAAGATAGAAATGCAGAGCCCATAATTGGCTGGTCCCACTCAGGCCATGTAAGCCAAGCAAGGAGAGTGGGTTTCATCTGAAGAGCAGGGGACAAAGGCTGTACTGGCTACTCCTGATTTTGTTGAAGTGCTCTCTTGCTGAAGAGTGGAACAGAGGGAGGACAAGGCCTGAGGGGACTGGGAAGAAGAGGGATGTCACCCTTGCACTAAGAGGAGAGAGGAGGGCTGTAACGTCAGGAGGAAGAGGGGATACGGGCAGATGCACAGTACCGGAGGAAGCATTAGTGGGGAATGACAGAGAGAGGAATCCCGGGTGACAGGGTCTAGTTGCAATAACTCTGGGAATATTGTTCCCTTTGATCTGGATAAGATCGTGTGGAGGAGGAACAGATCTGGGGAGAGAGCGTTTAGAGGGAAATTGATAGACCTGGTTGTGCGTGACAAAGTGAGGACCTGGCTTAACCCAGGCAAGATGTCAGGCCCTGCACCTTAGCCTGCCTCCCTACCATTTCCAGCATAAACTCACCCCAAGCCAATCATGTCATGAGAACACGCCACTCTGAGTTAGGACAAACCTCCCCACCTCCTGGCAAGGACCATCCCCCAACTCTGCACCTTGAAGTGGTCCCCGGTCACCACTCTGAACCCAAAAGGGACAGCAGCAGCCTGTGTTTGGCAGTCCACCCTCTTGTTACACTACAGTCCCTCGTGCCACTGGATGGAGAGGAGAAGCCCAGTCTCAGCTTCACATGTCCCCATCGTCCCATCAGCTCCTTCAATCTCTGGACCTTCTTGTCCATTGCCGGTACTCTGCCCTGCGAGTCACAGTAGAGTGAACTTTCCAAAGAAGAAAGAGTCAAATGTGAGGTGCTCACGGGGTTGGTGGTGGCTGCTCCATGTCCGTGTCTTGAGAACAGAGAAACACACAGGAGGGAAGCACAGCCTGGGGGATTTGTACCCTGGTTAGGAACCCAGAACCCTAATGGGACCTTTGAAGGTATCTGAGGTCACAGTGCCAACTTGTGTGGCCAGAGGAGATCAGGGGTCCCATGGGGACTGTGGGTGCTTGGAGCTGCAGCCTGGGGGGTCCTAACACCCCTGCAGGCACCACCGATGCCTGAGAAAATGGGCTACTGGGGCTCCACCCCAGACATGGTCCATCCAGACCACAAGGAAGTGACATGTCACGGGGGTGAGGAAGCTCCACTAAGTAGGCAATGCTCCAGTGCGGCTCCATTGTGTGGGGCGAGTGTGGACAGAGAGAGGAACAGATGTGGTCTGCTTAAGGGGATGGCAATCCCAATCCAGTCCTTGACCAGGAGCTGTCCTATCATCAGGTTTGAGAGGAGCCCGGGGCACCAGGCCCAGGACTCTGCCTCAGCCTGTGGTACTTCCCTCCCCGAGCTTCTGGCACCCCGACCAGCTTGAGTCAACGTGGAAGAAGATTGTGAGACCAACACAGGTTGACGAAGAAGGAAAGAGGCCTCTAAAAGCAAAAGTGGGTCGTGAAGACTGGACCCTATGGGAGGAGGCTTGAAATTGTCCCTCCTCAGGAGCCTGGCATTGCTGTGAGTGACCTCTGTGCTGTAGACATGACCCCGAGGGATGGGAGGCCTTGGCTGCCTGTAGCTCTGCTCCTTCTGCAGGTCCCAGGTGAGCAGGGCTGAGCCTGGGCAGGGAAGTGTGCCCTGTGTGGGAAGGAGGGAGACAGGGGAGACAGGGGAGGGACATAGGAGTCTTTCTTCTTTGGAAAGTCCACTCTACTGTGACTCTCAGGGCAGAGTACTGACAATGGACAAGTGACATGTCACTTCCTTGTGGTCGGGGTTTGGGGGGGGCGGCCCATGGGGAGGGAAGCAGGACCTGGGAGGGAGGAGGGAGAGCAGAGAACATTCTAGGATCGGCCAGCACTGCCCCAGCAGTGACCAGGAGCATTCAGAGCATGAAGCGGGTGAGTTCAATCCACTACAGTGTACAGAGCAACTCTGAGGAGAGGGGCGCCTGTGACCACCATTA